TTCTTTTTCTTCTCCTCTTCTTCTTTGCCTTCTTTTACACAGCAAATTGCAAACAGACAGTCAGTATTGCCAACATTTGACTGCAGTCTCCACCCACACATAAACCAAACTTACACAACATCAGTGCTGATTAAAATATGCTGCCATAGCCAGGAGCAAGTTAGCTAGCTGGCGAATGCTAATATTAGCACTCGCATCATTGTTTGCGGTACCAAATCATTACAGACCCAACAAACATTACTGACGGCTTCTATTCAACAACATTATTGGTACTTAGTGCAAAAAACATGTATACCTGACATCTGTATAACACAGCAGTGTTCACAGTCAACTCAGGCTTCTTGTTGTCCCCAGCTGCCATGTCAAAATGTAAGAAGTTTGTGACGTGCCCTCTGCTAGGTCACAAAGATGGCGACTGTTGAGGTTGAGAAGTGTCCATCATTCCACACTCAGTCAAGAGTGTCTCTCATCTGTGAAGAAAACAGGGCACCAATGGTGGACCTGCCAATTCTGGTGTTCTCTGGCAAATGCCAATGGAGCTGCATGGTGCTGGGCTGTGAGCACAGGTCCCAATGGAGGATGTTGGGCCCTCATGTCACCCTCATGGAGTCTGTTTCTGACAGCTTGATCAGAAACATGCACACCAGTAGCCTGCTGGAGGACATTTTGTAGGGCTCTGGCAGTGCTCCTCCCGTTCCTCCTTGCACAATGGAGCACACACTGGTCCTGCTTCTGGTTTGAACGGCTGGACTCCTGGTATCTCCTCAATGCTCTTGAGACTGTGCTGGGGGACACAGCAAACCTTCTTGCGACCGCATGTATAGATGTGCCATCCTGTCAGAGCTGGACTACCTGTGCAACCTGATTGGGCTGCAGGTACCACCTCATGCTACCAGTAGTGACAAGGACACTCACAGAACACAAAACTAGACAAGAATCAGTCAGGATGGATAAGAGCAGAGCAACTGTCTGTGGCCACCACATATAAAACCATTTGGGTGTTGTCTTGTTTTTGCCTCTCCATTGCACCTGTTGGCACTTTCATTCTCACCAAAGCAGGTGAAACTGATTCACAATCACTTGTACTTTGTAAATGGACAGATTGATATTTCTTAAGTTTAACTGACCTGGTGTTATACAGTGGCCATTGAGTGTTCCCTTAATTTTTGAGCAGTGTATTATTCTCAACCTCTCTCTCCTTTGTGTCTGTATGCTGACCCATAGAGAGAGACAAGCATTAAATTTCACATTCACATCTACAGGCAACTAAGAGTCAACACTTAACCCAATGTGCATGTCTTTGAACTGTGGCAGTAAGCCACTAACATGAGGAGAACTTGCAAACTCCACACAAAATGGCTTAAGCCACCAAGCATACTCAAACCCAAAATCCTCTTGCTATGAGTCAACAGTGCTACCCACTATACCACTGTGCCGCCCAGTTTTATCTTTTTTTAAATTATTATTATATTGAATATTTAATCAGGTAATCTCAAGCAAGTGAAAATGGAAGAGGAATAAGACATGCTGCAAAACAGAGTTGGTCACACACAAGACCATACAAACAGCATCAGAGATAATCTGTCATGGTGCAGGAATACAGGAACATGGACTGGACACAAATACAGGGAGTTAGGGGGCGGTAGGATTACTGAAGTGATGAAAATCAAGCTTACAGGTGGCAAGAGTCCAAATGGGCCAACCAGGCCGATTACAGGCAGGCAGGCAGGCACCTGACAGGCAAAAAGGTGGCAGGCAACAAAATACCACATAGCAACAATAACAATCCGACAAGAAAACAAAGGAAGTGGACCGGTATATATAAGGCCTCTCCCAACTCATCCCCTACACCCTCTCCCCTCTCCCATTCAAGGGTGTCACCTCATTAAGTGCCATCTCAAACCAGTTGGTGCCATAAGGCACTGTATTGCATATGTAACCTAGCTAGGGATGCACAATGTTTGATTTTTTTGCCGATATCCAATATGCCAATATATAACAACTCATTTGGCCGATAAACGAAGCCAATATCAATATGTCCACTTTTTTCTCCACCTAATTTTAATGATCAAGTCTGTTCTGTATTGGAATTATGCATACTCTTATAATGATGGCCCACCAGCAAATGTAGACATGAAATACAATGCTTTTTTTTTTTTTTTTTTTTTTTTCCCCCCAACATTATCTTTATTGAGTTTTCAAAATACTTCCAAAGTACATAAATATACAGAGATAAGAGTGCTCTCACATCAAAGGGGACGTCAGGAGCAGCTAAATTATTGTCCAGCATTCAAATTTTCCTTCTTTGCAAGTCAGGTTATGAGATAACATAGAGCAACACTTAGTTGAAAGTACAAGTATAAAAAATCAACAACAACCAGAACAACAAAGGTTTCTCTATATTATCAAGAGTTAGCCCAAATTATTTCACTATTGTGCATGGTTCAAAAATACAAACTCAGATGTACAATTCACACAGAATAAAGAAATCGAGTATCAAAAGAAAATAAATTATTTTAGGACACTGCAAAGGACTACCGAAAACTACGCCTCGTCCGCTTCATTCCCCACATTACTTAAATCCACACTCTCCATATATTCCATAAAAGTACCCCAAATGTTTTGAAATAGTGATAGTTTCCCCTTTATGATGTAAGTAATCTTCTCCATAGGTAAAGTTGTGGATATTTCCTTATTCCAGTTAATGAATTTTGGTTTACTGGTACTCCTCCATGAGAGTGCCATGACTCTTTTTGCAAGCAGTAAACATAAATCCAGGGCAGTGATTATTTTTCTAGACATATGATGTCTATCAGGATATAAACCTAGAATAAATAGTTTAGGGTCAAGAACTAATTTTATACCTAGTATAGTCTCTAAAGCTTGTTTAATCTCCCACCAGAACTGTTGGACTTTATTGCATTCCCAGATACAGTGGAAGAACGTCCCCTTCTCCTCTCCACACCTGAAACACAGGGCTGGGATGGCATCATTATACTTGTTAAGCTTTTCTGGCGTCACATATGTCCTCATTAGCCAATTATATTGCAGTACTTTGAGGCGAGTATTGGTAGTTTGTGTTTGTGCTTCAGCACACGCTTTTTCCCAGTCCTCGGAGGGCAAGTCCTCCTGTAAATCTTCCCTCCAGGTGTTAAGTTTCCGTAAAGAAGACTCAGAGGAACCCTCTGCTAACATGTTATATTGTTTGGAGATAATTCCCTTTCCAAAGCAATCTTTTTTCATTTCCTTTTCCAAAGTGGACAACGGGGGGATCGACAAACACTGGTTTTGAGATGATCTAATAAAGTTTCTCATCTGTAGATATTTAAATTGATGTTTGTTTGGAATGTCATATCTGGCAATCAACTCTTCAAATGACATCAAAATCCCACCATCTGATCCCATGAGATCCCCTATTTTCTTCAAACCTTTTTCGGCCCTCTTCCTAAAACCAGGGTCTGCTCTGCCTGGAGGGAAAAATTGGTTACCCCATATCGGGCTGAAGCGTGACAGAGAGGAGGATTCACCTAAATACTTCTTAACCTGATACCAAATTATAATCATATTTCTGATTATAGGATTTTTTGTCTTTTTTTTTCAGCATTTCAACTTTTGCTGAGTATATGTACTGAGGGAGAGGGAGAGGGACTGAGCAGTTTTCAATATTCATCCAAGGTGGGAGGGACTTATCTGTAAAATAATGCATCATAGTCTTCAGTTGAGCTGCCAAATAATACCAAAGTGGAGTGGAGCACCTGAGGCCTCCTCGATCATATGGTAGGTACAAGAGTGATAAACGTAGCCTCGGTCGTCTATTATTCCACAAAAAAATACAATGCTTTTTAATGGATGTAATATTCATTCATTGTGCAAAATAAGAAAAAGCACATTGGCGGATTTTGATATTTCATTTCAAAGCCAATATCTGCCAGTTCCGATGATCTGCTGATATTATATATATCGCACATTCCCAAGCCTAGCAGCTGGCTGACTTTTCCTCTACTCATATGAAGGATATATCACATTTCAATGCTGTTTTATTGGGGCTTTGTCTTTTTAATTTATTATTTCTTATCTGTGAAATAAGAGTAAATAGGCCGCCGCTAGAAAGTCCCCCTATCTAAGAAAAACATCCACAAAAACTCATTCATACCCACTGCCATAAACATCTTAAATAAATAATGAACAATGGACAAAAATAACCCTGATGCACTATGTCACTTTACACATATCCACACCTTTTATCTAGTTTTAATTTTATACTTGTTTTTAAGATCTATACACACTGTGTGTGCTTTCAGAATCTGTGTTGTGCGATTGTTTCCAATCAGTGTATGTCTTATTTTGTATGTGGAGCCACGTCAAAGAAGATTTTCTGTTACGACAGACAATAAAGTTTTCGGAATCTGAATCTGAATCTGAAATCCTTCCCTTCATCTTACAAAAATAAACAGGTGGTCTGCGTTACCACAAAATTACATTTTTCCTCTGGGTACTCCAGCTTCCTCCCACAGTCCAAAGACATGCAGGTTAGGCTAATTTGTGACCTAAATTACCCGTAAGTGTGAATATGAGCATGGATGATAGTCTGTCTCTATGTGTCAGCCCTGTGATGGTCTGACAACCTGTCCAAGGTGTACCCCACCTCTTGCCCAGTGTCAGCTGGGATAAGCTCCAACCCTCCACAGCATAAATTGACAGATTGATATCCCTGAAGATTAACTGACTTGGTGTTATACTGTGACGATTAAGTGTTCCCTTCATTTTATTTTTGAGCAGTGTATTTTGGTGAGTTACAATAGTTGGCTTTAATGTTGCGCCTTTGAGTGTTCAGGAGGCATGTGTTTGGGGATGACAGTAACACTGAAAAGATGTAGGACTGTAATAATAGATCAAGAAGAGCTTATGGATAATATCTTTGTGGTTTTTGTCTCTCACCCTCCTGTCTCTCTTCCTTTCCCCTCACCTAAATTCTCCCTCCTCCCTGTCTCTTCTTTTAGTATGGGTTACTGTATCCTGGTTGTTCATGGCCTGGGTCGGCTGTGTTCAGTGGTGGGCCGTTGGGGCACCACACTCCTCAGTGTCTCCATGCTGCTGCTACTCCTGCTCTTCTCCTGGAAGACTGTCCAACAGAACCATGTCTGGCTCTCCAGGGAGGCCCTATTCCGGTAAGGGGACAGAAAGACTGCGTGTGTGTGTGTGTGTGTGTGTGTGTGTGTGTGTGTGTGGGTGGGTGGGTGTGGTTCTGGCAAATGATTAGGATGCCTCCTGGGCGCCTCCCGTTAGAGGCGTTCTGGTGGGAGGCCCCGGGGCAAACCCAGAATACACTGGAGGGATTATATCTCATCTGGCCTGGGTCCACCTTGGGGTCCCCAACGAGGTACTAGAAAGCGTCGCTGGAAAGAGGGACGTCTGGGGTGCTTTGCTTGGCCTGCTGTCCCTGCAACTCGGCCCTGGATAGGCAGAGGAATATGAATGAATTAATGAATGTTTACAGGGAAGTAATCAAAGTTAAAAACACATCAGAAAAGACAAATTATTTTGGACTTTCTTAATTTACACATGAAAGTCATATTTCTCATGAAGTTGATAAATCCCTGACCAGTGCAGGTAACTGGTACATAGATCCAGTCCAAGTGGGCAGCTGACTTCCTTGAAAGGTTTTTTTTTCTCAGTTATTTTTCTCAGATGTCTACACCTCATTTCTTTCTTCAGACTGATTTAATGCCCCCTCCTCCTTCTCCATCTTCTTCCTCCTTGTTTCAGCTCTGGTATCCAGACTCTGCCTCACAATGCCAAAGTCCATTACAACTACGCCAACTTCCTGAAAGACAGTGGCCGCCACCAGGAGGCCATTCACCACTACACTACTGCCCTCAGGTAAGACTGAACTAAAGCTCTCTGACTGTATTAATCTGACATTATTTTTTTCTCACTTAAATTTTCATTGAGTTATCTTTATTCCACACAAATCGAGTGACACACAATATACGCAAAGCAGCTTCCTGTTGCTGATAGAATGAAGGTTACAATATTGTAAGTTTAGTTCTATAAACACAAGTGTAGCCCTCTGCTGGACTGTCCTGTAGTTGCAGGTTCACATTCATCCATTGAAATTTGCATAAATATAGCTGGTCTGTCTGCTATCCTACACCCTCCTCAGCAAGCAGCGTAGGAGCCACAGGGCCTCTAGGTACAGGGCTCTGCTTGTGTGAACTAGGCTTACAATATCTTAAAGTTCATTCTCTCTCACATAGGCTCTGCCCTCTACTGGACTCTATAGGTACAGTAGGTGGAGCCTGATAAATAAACACCCTGTAACAAAACATAAACCCTGCCACACACCACAGTGATCCAGACCAGCTAAATGTTAGTTGCCACAGCCTGCCTACTTCTCTATAACCTAGACCACCACAGTAGAGAAGTAGGGTGTTCCAGCCAACCCAGGCTGTATTCACCTGAACTTGGTAGAGCCATTAACTGACCTTGCAGGTGACAAGCAGTAAATATGCCTAGAGGGGATTCAGATGCAACACAACTGACACACACCCCATCCATTTCACCAGTCATGTGTCATTCCAGCGAGCACAGACCCTGAAAAGGGGCCTGACATGTCCAGGAGATAGCACCATATGAGCATTGTCCTTGAACGTCACCCATATGAACAAAGCTGCCAACACTGCCACACTGTATGTAGAGTGTGTACAGGTCACAGTGGGGGGGTCCCTGCCTGCCAGCCTATAGGCACGGGAGCTGCACTCACAAAGCAATCATGAAAGGCCTTTCTTGAATTGGGCTTTACAGGGCACACTATCCCTGAAGCACATGAACAGCTGTTCAGTATGTCTGATGGGGGCCGTGTATTCAACATAACATGCCAGCGCACAAACTAAGTTCAGCAGATGCAAGTTTGCCTCCTTGTTCACAGCATGAGGTGGAAGACAGAAAACATCTAATTATATAACTCTTGACCTGGAAGAACTCCTCAAGGTTTTGGAACAAAGAAGGGATTTGGTCTGAGAGAAGCTCTGCTGCAGTCAACATGAAGCAGCAAGTAACTAGGGTGTACCGACATGGTGATTAGTTCACACACACTCTTACCTGAGGTCAGTGCAAGCAGCAAAGTTGTGTAAAATGACAATGACTTCAGAAAGGAGGTTTCAGACTTCCGGCAACGCCATGATTGGGGTGGATGTGTCGCCAACTCGCTCGCAGAGAAACCCTCTTTAAACAAAGCAAGAGCAGAACACGTGCACCAAGATCCAAAATAGTCAGATTTGTGGACTATTATACAAAGGATGTTGTTTTGCAACAGGCCTGGAAGCAACGGCAGATAACATATGAGGGGGACAAAGTGTATTTTGACCAGGATTATTCTCCGGACATTCAGAGAAAATGCAAGGAGGTGTGACAAGTGATTAAACAACTACAGGAGAAAAACATCTGAGCCAAGTCTCCATTCCAGACGCAGCTCAGGATTTTTCTAGCCTCTGCAGTCAAGGCTTTTCAGATACTGACCGAGGCAGCACCCACGCTGGAGAAGATAGGGATCCACATAAAGCTGGACTCAAGAGAAAAGCTGAACAAAGAGCTGTTGCAGGATTGCTGGTCATTGATCAACAAAAGATACAGGGAGCAGAGAGAAATGTCATCTCTCCCAGAAGAAGATCGGCATACTTTCCTCGGCACCTTAGGAAAATGACTAAATACAGGTTTGAAACAAATACTAATGTAAGACAATAACGAAAGGCTATTGTTACTACTGAGTAAATAAGGAGTGTATGGGGGTATGTGAATCTATGCCTGTGTGTGCAGGTATTGTATGTTTTGAGCGTGTATGTCTGGGCATGTGTGTGATTGTGTATGTGTGTGTGGATATATGTTCATTATATAACATATATCCATATATCCTAATTTTGCATGTATGTATGTATGGTTTGGTCTTTTGCTTTAAAGAAGAAGAGCTATACCATGTTAAAAAATCATATCAAGGCTGGGTTTGTATTATATCTTGCTACTTGATTTAAAAGCAATTGAAAAGAAGACCAGAGGGGGGTTCTCTAGGTGCGGGAGGTGACTCCATAACTGTTAGGATTCCCAAAGAGGGATTTTAAGCAACCTTATGTAGCAACCACACTGTAGTGGGTTCACCCAGGAGAGAGTTAATCACATCTCTTCTATTCACAAGGTGCTGGCATTTGGTTCAGGTGGTCCAGCTGGGTTGGTCAGATAGGAAGTGTCTTTTTTCTTATTTTTTTTCTCTCTCTCTCTCTCTCTCTCTCTCTCTTCTTTCTTCTGTATTTTTTCATAAAGTTGAAAATGTTCGCTTATTTGTTTGTTCAGCCATTGTTGTCTTGTTCATGGAGCAGTATCACAGCAACACAGTCCTATACAGTATTCCAGAGGTATAGCAGACATACACAGGCCAATCAAAGTAATATACAAAAATGGTACAGACACCCAAATTTAAAGTACACAGTGCCAGACAATGTTTAACTTAAAGTTGATAAGCTACAATGTGAATGGACTAAATCACCTGATGAAGAGGCGAAATTATTCGTTACAGCGAGGTGGTCTTTCTGCTGGGCCTGTCACCTGCGGCCTCATGCCTATGACCAAATCACAGCCGTGACGATATACGAGTATAACATCACTCCCTCTCGTGTGATATTGCTTAATTATTACATTATGAGTTGCAACATTGTTTCACATAGGTCATGAACACTGGTCTCCTGGTTTGACCCATATACTACTACTCCCTCCCACCTGCTTTACTCAGACTTTCTTGCTCTTTACACAACACCATTGCTACAAATGGGTTTACACTGGAGTTAGTTGAAAACCAGGTACATCCCATACAAATACTAAAGGTACCTTGCACATTGGAATCTGACACTGACGACCGCTGACCACATTGCAATTTTTAATTCTTTGGGAATAAAAAAACAACTGACTGAACACACCAATCCAAATCAAGATTTGAATAATTTTGAAAAGATGAATTGTTGAGCCTTAATTTATGGTCATAACACTCTCTCACTGTCCTGTGTTGTGTTTGTTTCAACATTTGGATTTTTCACTTCTTTTTCTCTTCTTGTAACAGATGTATGTAACATCTCTGACATCCTTCTCATTATTCCCAGGTTCTACATTTTACCTTTCCATCTCTTTATTTCTCCACTCTCTGTTTCTAAGTATCCACCCTTTCTCTCCGTCTCTCCTCTTCCCTTCTTCCCAGTCTTCCTGCAGCAGCAGAGTTGTGTGCTGCCAGCATGTAGGAGCTCCACAGCACAACAACCCTGGTGCAGGGTGCAGTGCAGTGAGGTGCAGTGCAAACTCTGTGAGGCAAAGCTTGCGTATCACAAGTCTACAACAAGTATGCACAGTCATTTGAGAGCGAGGCACGCAGGAGGCGGCGAGGGACCGTACCGGCCGGGCTCCACCGCGACACGTCTGCAGCGCGAGTCCCGTAGCAGCTCGCCCCCCTGTTAACCAATTACAGCAGCTCCCCCGGCAATGGGAGCAGCGCAACAACCCCCGTCTGTCGCGCGACAACTCTCTATTTTACGCGGCTCTTCTATTTTTGTCGCGCTGCGCTCCCCTACGCGACCCTCCGGCAGATAAAAACTACATGAAATAGTGTGCTAAATGTGCACAATGTGTTTTTAAATGAATAAACCATTATCAGAGGTGATATGTGATGACTTTTTTTTTCATGCATTTACCCATGTTTATCCGTGACATTGTGTAAATGTCTGTGGCGGACATTTGAAAGCGAGTAGATGACAAACAGTACAGTAAACTTGTAGATAACTCAAATATATGTAATAACTTAGGTGGAAAATGCTTTAACATTTCATGCAGCCTACATGCAGCCTCTCGGCTCAGCAAACGGTAAACAACCCCGCTGCCCAAATGAATACGCCGCGACGCTACGCTGACTTGACGCTTTGCAGCCGGTGGAGTCCGGCCGTCTTGATGAATGGATCTCTGTGTGCGTGGCTCCGGGAGGGGGCGGTTATTCGAAAAATCGTCGAATAGTTGCCATGATTTTCGAATAGTGTTTTTGCTTGTGCTGCCCATCCCTAATTGGAATTTGATGTTCAGTGGTCAAAGCTCAAGGTCACTATGACCTCACAAAAAGTGTTTTTGGCCATAACTCAATCACATGCTAATCATGACAAAATTTCACACAAATGTCTATTTAGATAAAATGACAAAGTAGTGACATTTTATATTTAAAAGATCAAAGGTCACCTTCACTGTGACATAATGTGCTGAAAAAAACAAACAAAAAAAACGCTCTTCTGGCCATTGTTCGACATCATAGCTCAGGATTGGCTCATGAGGGGTTGAAGGTGGGGGCTGAGAGCTGGGAGAAGTGAATTTGGACAAGGGAGCTGAGAGGGGGTGGGCAAAACTGAGAGAAGGAACTGTAGGGACCACAAAGTGATCTAAAAGTGATGTAAATCTAAAAAAAAAAACCCTACTAACGGTTTGCTAACAAGTTTGCCATATTTCTACTGTTTTTTCCCCTCATTATAGGGGTTTTTTTGGGGGGGGAGTTTTTCCTTATCTGCTGCGAGGGTCCCAAGGACAGAGGGATGTTGTATGCTGTAAAGCCCTGTGAGGCAAATTGTGATTTGTGATATTGGGCTTTATAAATAAAATTGATTGGTTGGTTGATTGATTGATTGACTGATTGATTGATTGATTGATTGAGTGAGTGAGTGAGTGAGTGAGTGAGTGAGTGATTGATTGATTGATTGATTGATTGATCAAACTGAAAAGGTGTTGTGTTCCCAACTTCTGATGTTCAGGATTAACTTTCCTAGGTTAAATTTTTTTGTGTATACATTTCACAGAAAATGTTATTAGTAAATTTAATTTAACTCTTTCCCGTGCTGTCTCCTTATCCCCCCTTCAGGTTATACCCCCGCCATGCCAGCGCTATGAACAATTTAGGCACTCTGACTCGCAACCCAGAGGAGGCTGAGCACTACTACAGGAAGGCATTGGACATCAACCCTCAGCACAACCGAGCACTGTTTAACCTGGGAAACCTCCTCAAGTAAGAAACACACACACACACACACACACACACACAACGCTCTGACACACCAAGCACCAAGTAAAATGCTATTGGAGAACAGACATTGACATTGACAGCACACACAGCACTCAGTACAAAAGCCTGGCCATGCATGCAGTTGCTTGCTTCACATTGTTTTGTGATCTCAAAACTCTTTATACAATCCACATCACCTAATGGTGCCTGTAAAGAATTGATGTAACAAAAAATTCAGCAGCACAAAGAAAAATAACTATTAAAATAGAGCTGGAAGTGGCTGTTCTGGGTTCAAGCCAGCATTGAGCATGAAGGATCAAGAACTGTAACAGTATCTGACACCTGCATTAAAAATACCTAACAGGTTTTATGATGATCCAACAGTTGTTCAGTCATTTACAACCAAATCTGTCTCCTACCAACGCCCTTCTGCAGCAATACCGAAAAAAATGTCTGATTTGTGTTATGCCACTCCTGTTGATTGCATGTGTAATGTCCTCTATAGGTTGTTTTGAATAGCACTTTCAGCATATGTTTCAGGTACTTACGTAAACATTTCCTGGAAGTTTCATGATAATTGGCCTTATGGTTTTAGAGTCATGCCAGGTTCAGACAACACGATACCAGCGCGATTATGACCAACGTGGTGTCGTATGGTGTCGGCTCGGATCGTGAACGGCAATGAGCGTCCTACATGATAATCCATTGTTTTGTCTGATGTAGTGTGTCATAGCAGACAACAACCAACCCGTCTTGGATGTCTCACCACATCCTGACAGAAAGTCGAGCATGTTTGATTTTCTTTTTGTCTTCCAGAACTTCTCCCCTCACAGCCGTCACTTGACCAAAAGAAACACAGAGCTATCTGATCTATCTGCTGCCGTGGGCAGCTTTATGGCAACAACACCCCAGCCTTTTGATATTGTTACCACACAGAGTAAAAAGAAAAAAATTATGGCGTGAAACAGCAGGAACTTTAGCAACCCAGTGAGGAATGCCGTTAGCATCAGGCTAGCAAATATTGTTAATTCTTCATAATGGAGGATTTAAAGCAACCTGATCTCACAGAAATACGTGAAATGACCACGACCTCTTAACGCCGCATTCCGTGGTGGCAGCACGTAATGGGTTGAAATTACGTGCCGGTACCACGGAAACAATGCCAATGTAAAGATATTTTTTTGGGCATTTTTTTTTAGCCTTTATTTGATAGGACAGACAAGTGTGAAAGGGGGAGAGAGAGAGAGAGAGAGAGAGAGGGAGTGACATGCAGCAAAGGGCCACAGGCTGGAGTCGAAACCGGGCCGCTGTGGCAACGGCCTTGTACATGGGGCGCCTGCTCTACCACTAAGCCACCGACGCCTCACAATGCCAATGTAAAGTCAATTAGGATCCTTTCCCGTGGTGGACACACGGATTCCCTGATTCAATAACATCACATCAACCTTGTTTTCCCCAATGATATCTTTAACATTCCTGTATACACACAAAAACACGGAAGTGTCATTGATAACTCAACAATATGACAGGTTAATGTCAAGGCCATAATATAAAATAAATGTATTTTGCCAGCTTTCGACAGCGTAGGGCTTTAAGAGATTGTGCTGTGGGCGGATGGGGCGCGTTCCACTACTGTTTTGTATCTATTGTCTGCCGTGTGTGGGCTTCATTCCATTTCAGATTGCCGTCTGTCTGCCGTAACCAAATCCAAACGCCACTAATAAATAAATAAATAAGAAGAAAAAAATAAGACTGAGCACGGAAGAGCCAGAGAGGAAACACCATCACATGGAGCCGGCAACCCAGCCACCCTCCACTCCACCAGGGGAGAGCAGACCCCAAGCCAGCGCCAGAGAACCAGCGGCTGCCTTTACTTTTTACTTTTTAGTAGTATTGTATTGTCGGAGGATGACTCATTTTAGTAACTATCTACAGTAAAAAGGAAAAAAACAAGCAAAGAAACAAATAAAAATCATTTTATATACTGGGCCTTCAGCGTGCTCTCTGAAACTAGACTTGGCATGGCTTGTGTCCAAAAAATGAAAAAAATCAAAACTTTGTCATAGAGCTAAACCAAATACATCATTGGAAAGGTCTCAACCTGGAGAGTAGCATATGTCAGTATGAAGATTCTGCATGGCTCCTGCTTTCAGCCATTCACCTTTGAACTCAGCAACAAAAGGGGGTACAGACATGGGACCAACTGTTATAGAGAGCTCTTGACCTCAACTATCATGTGAGTGTAGTCAACAACTGGGGGTGCTGTCAGATATGGGTAAAATATGGATAAAATTAATTTTCACCCGTTTAGAAATTACATATTTAAAATCTGATTACACAAGTGTGTTTACCATCCCCTTAAAGTCCACATTGTACTCTCAATTCAGTATTTACAACTTTCAAATCTGGGAAAAACACTTATATTTTTTAAAAACTACAATTTCCTGGGATCGCTCCATGCAGTTTGATACATATCAGCAACATAGTTGTAGTTCTTCTGATTTGCAAAGTAGGGTTCTAAATAGGGTTGTAAAAAGATATATCTACCCAATATATCTAATATCTAGTAAAGCCGAACTAGTTATTACACTGCACCTAGATGAACTATGTTAAGAAAAAGTAAAGATGTCGGCTAATTTACGATATTTTAGCTAATACGCTAGAAATGGCGTTGTTAGGACAGTAGGTTGGTTTGCAGCTTGTAAAATAGAGTTGTAAAATAGGGTCGTAAAAAGATGGCTCTACTGAATATATCTAATATCTAGTAAAGCTGAACTAGTAATGACACTGCACCTAGATGAACTATGTTAAGAAAAAGTAAGGATGATGGTTAATTTCAGATAATTTAGCTAGTACTGTAGAAACAGCATTTTTGGGACTGAATATTTGAATAGGCCTATATCAAATATCTAGTACAGCCAAACTATCATGTTATTGTTATTATTATTATTATTATTATTATTATTATTGGTGGGAAATAATAACAGAGGAATATATTTGCCATTTTAATATCAAGAACACTTTTGTGTTTTTGTGTGTATACAGGACATGCTGAATCAGGGAATCCGTGTGGACACCACAACAATGGATCCTAATTGACTTTACATTGGCATTGTTTCCGTGGTACCGTAATTTCAACCCATTACGTGTTGCCACCACGGAATGCGGTGTTAAGAGGTCGTGGTCATTTCACGTATTTCTGTGAGATCAGGTTGATATAAAGGTGTAAAAATAAAAAGTTGTGGTGGGGCTTTTACTAACCACAACTGCAGAGGGTACCAGCTTCACTTGAAACAGACTACATTAGAAACGGGTCTTTATTTATTATTCCCTCTGTATTTTTCTGTTTTTACTTAATCCGCGCCTGCATTGCGCTGTCATTTCAAATTCAACACTTCCTGCATCCATTTAAAATTAAAAGCCCCTTATAATTTTGGTTGACAGATTCCTTTCATTTTCTAAAAAAGGCTTTTGTTGTGAAACATTTGCAGGAACTTGTTGTGGAGGATTCAGTGACTTGCATAGTTTGTATGTAGTACTTCAAATGTAGCACCTGCCATCTAGTGGCACTTTTTATGTTACTGCAGTAACATTTTGGCTGTGACATAAACAGCCATAGTAACTGATATAATAGTAATAACAATAAAAATAGGATTAGAAGAATCCGATGACATCACACACATTATGAAAGACAACCAGGGATGATTGGTCATGAACCAACGTGTATGTCTGTCAGCCAAGTCATGGCAAGGTTTTATGACTCCACAATTGCCTAATCTGACATGATGACTGTTGGAACAGACAAATATGTCCTGTAGTGTGAACCTGGCATTAATGAGCTGAGCCACATCCCTTTTGAAGTTCATTGATCAATATCTTCAAAACACAATGATATATCAAGGCTTGATATAAGCTCGCTTGATAATCAAGCGAGCTATTGGTAACTTTTGACAAGCTTGGTCCAATAATGATTCAAAGAAAAAGTGGTACAAATCAGACTTGTGGTTTAGGAGAGAATGTCAGAATCTCCTGCTGAGAAGGAAGTGGGCTTTCTAAAATTGAATATTATGGCTCAGTTGTAGTGCCACAGTCAGGCTCAACTTGGTTCATATTTGTTGTGCAGCATTTGGTTACAACTTTAAATCATTGGTGCTAATCTGGTATGTCTGTGATGTACCATCTCACTGGAATTTGGAAAAACATTTTTGAAGAAAAACTATGATAAATTAAAGCTACAAGCAGTGATGAACGGGCTTTCGCACCTTCGCACACATCATGGGCACTGACAGGATGCCGTTCAACTGGGCTGTGCATTCCAGTGAAAGTCAGACACTGTACACAGGAGTTAGATGGTATTTCTTGCTTGGAAAACCATGGCTCTGGAAATAACCTACTGCAAATTTTGTACCATTGCCTGTGTCCACTATGGGGCACTAGACAATGCACACTGGTTATATTTCATTTTGCTGCTCATCATGGAAACTGTTTTTAATTCACATTTGTCTTCCTTCTCTTCCTTTTTGCATCCTTCTCCTCTTCCTTAAATTCAAGGATCAGATGGGATTACGAATTGTATCTTGTGTGATTTCAAGTGATAAATTGATTGACTGACATTATTATTGTTGTGGATGGATTTCAGGTTAGCCTATATATTTGTGTGTCACACGTCCGTAACACAACGCGTTGTTGCTTCGAGCTGACACTTTTGACCCCCCTGCGATCACATGACATGTCTACGCACGCACGTCTAATAACCACACGTCTAGGCGTGTGCAGGCATTGCATGCGCATTGCATGTGTAACAAGTACATGGTGAATGCACGCGCATTGCATGTGTAACAAGTACACGGTGAATGCACGCGCAGTGCACATGAAGCAAGTACACGGTGATGGTTGCAGACGTAATGTACACGTATCAAGTACGCAGTGAATGCAGTGTGTGTGTGTGTTCGCTGATACATTTCACCCCTCATAGTGTGTATGTGTGCTCGTGTGTGTGTGTGTGTGTGTGTGTGTGCGTGCGTGCGTGTGTGTGCGCGTCTGTCTGTCTGTCTGTCTGTGTTTGTCTGTTTGTCTCTGTCTATAAGCCTGTGATGTGCTGTTTCTTTTGTAGACTTGAATAAATTCCATAAGTATAACTGTATATACATGAAATGAAGAACTACAAGCATGTAGCTGTGGCTTTAATTGAAAGTATCATTTTGCTGCTACTAATATTTGTTATGATGATTGTGACAAAGATGACTATGAGCATAATAATATAGCTCCTGCTGCTGCTTATGGGGATGATAGCAATGATATTGACTGCACAGATGAGGATGATGACAGTGATCATATTGATGATGATGACAATGATACTGATGATGATGATGACAATGATGATGTTAATTAGTTTGGTAATATTGCTGCTGCTACTGCTGGTGATGATGATGATAATGATGATGATGATAAGAGTACGATGATATTGCAGCTGCTGCTACTGCTGGTGATGATGATGATGATGATAATGGTGATGATGATGATGATGATGATGATGATGAGAGAATAATATTGCAGCTGCTGCTACTATTGCTGGTGCTGGTGATGATGATGATGATGATGAGAGTATGAACATATTACAGCTGCTGCTACTGCTGGTGAAACATTTGGTGGTGGTGATGATGATGATACTGAAGCTGCTGCTACTGCTGGTGACAGTGACAGCTCAATCAACCTTATTTATAAAGCGCAATATCACAAATCACAATTTGCCTCCGAGGGATTTACAGCATACAACATCCCTCTGTCCTTTGGACCCTCACAGTGGATAAGGAAAAACTCCCCCAAAAAAACTTTAACGGGGAAAAAATTGGTAGAAACCTTAGGAAGAGCAACTGAGGAGGGATCCCTCTTCCAGGACAGACAGACGTGCAATAGATGTGACAAAATGATACATAAAGAGAGACAGAGCCAGAGAGAGATGCAATTTAAGTAATAATATTATAATAATAATAATAACAACAACAGTAATTGTGGCACAATATGTTGTAAGTATATATTAATATATGATAGTATATGTATGTGACAGTAGTCATGTGTATACTAACAGTAGAAGTATGACTAATAATATAATAACAGCAGCATAGGAGGCATCAGGCAGGACCACGGCAGCAGCACAACCACCACACACCATCCAGGCGTAGCTGCGATACAAGTTAACCTGCGAGACAGTGGAGCACAAAGGCTCCGGAGAAGAAGCCAAGTTAGTGACATGCTAAGGAGAGAGAGAGAGAGAAGGGGCTTGGTGTATTATAGGAGGTCCCCTGGCAGACTAGGCCTATGTCAGCCTAACTAGGAGCTGGTCCAAGGCAAGCCTGAGCCCTAACTATAAGCTTTATCACAAAGGAAAGTCTTAAGTCTAGTCTTAAATGTGGAGACAGTGTCTGCCTCCCAGACCAAAACAGGAAGATGATTCCACAGGAGAGGAGCTTGATAGCTGAAGGCTCTGGCTCCTTTTCTACTTTTGGAGACTTTAGGGACCACGAGTAACCCTGCATTCTCAGAGTGCAGTGTTCTGGTGGGATAATATGGCTCTATGAGCTCTCTAAGTCTGACCATTTAGAGCTTTGTAAGAGAGTTGAGAGTTTTCAAAGACTTATTAGAGCTACCTGACAATAGGGAATTACAGTAATCCAGCCTAGAGGTGACAAAAACGTGGACCAATTTTTCGGCATCTTTTTGGGACAGGATAGGCCTAATTTTTTGCAATATTACGCAGATGAAAGAAAACTGTCTGTAAACTTTGTTTAAAATGGGAGTTAAAAGACAAATATTGATCAAATATTACTCCAAGGTTTCTTACAGTAGTGTTAGAGGCCAGAGCAATGCCATCCAGAGAAACTATATCTTCAGATTGAGAGTTTCTGGGACTGGTGATGGTGATAATACTGAAGCTGCTGCTACTGCTGGTGGTGATGATGATGATGGTGATGGTGATGGTGATGGTGATAATGGTGATGATGATGATGAGAGTGTGATAATATTGCAGTTGCTGCTCCTGCAAATGATGATGATGATGATGATGAGAATGATAATATTGCAGCTGGTGATGATGATGATGATGGTGATGGTGAGAATATGATAATATTGCAGCTGCTGCTCTTGCTAATGATGATGATGATGATAATGATGACGATGATGATGGTGAGTATGATGTTGAAGATGATACTGGTGCTGTGTTCCAGGTCCCAGGGGAAGGAGAAAGAGGCTGAGACTCTGCTGAAGGACTCTATCCACTTTGGGCCACATTTTGCTGATGCTTATTCCAGTCTGGCATCACTCTATGCTGAGCAGGTGACACATCCCAAAAACACAAGGACACTCCCTCTGTCTCTCTCACACACACTCATACACATATGTCTGTACCACACTGGAGGTGTACTGTAACTCATAACAACTCCGGAATCATATTAGCTGTAGCTGTAGATGATGAATCACACTGCAGACAGCAATACTAAAACATTAGAGAAGCCTGTTCAGCTGTACACACTGCAGCTTCCTGAAACCTTGTCTTGTGTGTTCCTGTTTCAATCCTGTATTCATTTCATCTGCATTCTTCCACAGAAACGCTTTGCTGAAGCCAATGAAGTGTATCTAAAAGGTATAGAGAACTGTCCAGACAGCTCTGACCTACATAATAACTACGGAGTCTTTCTGGTGGATACGGGTGAGTTGAACCTAGTGGCTCTCTGGCCCTGGGGGTTATGGGTAAACACAAGCTCCCATTAACACCATAGTCCTCTTGTTGGGATATACTTTAATTAGTAAGAATGAACATCTGTATGATGTCCCTGTCATGTTGGAAGAACTTTTTCTTTGTACATGAATACTCAGTGGTCACTTTATCAGATACACCTGTGCAATCTACAGTAATACACCCTAATTTTACTTCTAAGATGCCAATAATGTTCAGTGGTTGTTGTTGTTTTTTACATTTTCATAGAGTCACAAAATGGACCAAGCAGCAAGACACAGGACACAGTTTTTGGATTTAAAAATGTGGACTTTTATTTAGCCAATAAATGACGAAATGCAAAGCAACATTAACTAAAGTTGGCCTTAAAAGAGGTAAATAAAAACACATCTGAATGACATAACTGACCTTAACAAAGAAAGAACTGACCTCTTATGACGCATGGAGTGAACAGTGTACTGGCTTGTCAAAGTACTTAACAGACGTGGACAAAACTTATGCAAAGGCATTTAACACTACCCACTGTATCAGATAAACTGTTATATGGTGGAGGCCAGACATAATCTCTAACAGCAGCACAGTAATTGAAAAGAAAGTCAATAATATCAATGCAGCTTCAAAGATAATAGAACTTAAGTTTTGAAATCATTGAGTGAATTACTGCAAAACCTCCATTAAAAGCCCAGTCTGATTTAAACACCCAGTTCCTTTGACTAGCCCGGGGTGGTTACATATTTTGACAAATAAAGGCCTGTCTCAATTAGAAGCCTGGTCTGGTTGCCAAGCAGTTCATTATTATAGAGGTTCTTCAGATGTATAAAACCAGACTGTGGACAACCCACTTGAGCTATCATCAGTTAGCTGCGTATATCACACACAAAAATATAAATGTTTAAACTTTGTCAATACGGAGATGCTACACATTGATAGCTTTGTTGATTTCATTTTACTGAGACTTTAAGCATATATGAAGAGACATTTTAGTGTCAGATGCTCTGTGATAAATCTGTGCTCAAGCATGTGTACAGATAGAACCCAGGTGGTGCTCAAGCATCCGGCCTTTTGGCCTCTGACTGGATAGGTGCCCTTTTTGCAAGACATGTATTTTTCTATTTCTTTTTCTAATTTTTTATTTTAGTTTTTAAGTATGGCACACGACATCCATTCTCAATCAAAAGCATGTTGTATTTGAGTTTTAATTCTGCGAGACTGCAGAAGCCCCTGCCCCTCCCTCTTCAACTTCACAGTTAACATACACAAATCGAGCGCCCTCCAGAGCAGCATCCACGTCTCCCTGTGACCTGCCTTCTTGGGCAGCCAGGTTATAGCTTTTTTTTAGTCTTTTTAAACAGACATTATGCAAATTTGCAGGAAAGCCCAATCAGTCTTCTTTCAGCATTGGCAGTATAAAAACAAAATCGGGGAGCCTACCTACTTTTGTTTATACAGAATGTGCCTTTTTCGGGGCAATAGGGGGCGTGAGCAAGTAACAAAACGTGTAGCTCAGCGTGTGACGTAAACAGTGATGTTGGAGGGAAGCTGCGGCAAGTCAGTCCTTCCACGATTCTCTCGTAAGTTGGCCCATCCTTCACCATCCCCTTCATCTGACGGTTAATGGCCTCTTCGTTCGCGAGGGCAAGGAGGGCGTGCAATTCCTTGTCTCCCCAGTTCATCTTGGTTTGCATTTCTCTCTTGCTACTAGCTGCTCGCTAATTCCTGCTATCAGCTGTTTCCTGTTTATCCACCGCCAGTGGGTCACATTTGCGGCGTCATCAACAGCTTCTCCCACAAGTCTTCAACAGCCCCTCCCGTTGCGGAAGGCCGCCTCGGCCTTTTTAAACTGAAAGGGTTCCGCCAATATGACTACCCTACAAGGCTGATGGTTGGGTACCTCGGATCAACTCGCCAATCCGGCTCTGTGTGTCTAAACGCTCGCAGCTTGCCGGCAAAACGGCCCAACATTAGCGGAAAATCTGGCAGTGTAAAAGGGGCTAATGATAATGTTTGCCTTAAGCCTCAGCATTGTTTGTAACTGCTGTGAAATTCAACCACTTTTAAAAACATCTGAACAGGGGCGTAGCCATCATTTCAGAAGTGAGGGGGACAAATTGTATAGACGTCTATTTAGTGATTTATCATCCTGTCACATTCAATTGCACCTCTCCTTAGCGGCTGAAGAACCACATAACCACAAACAGCCACAATACAGCACCAGGGGACCGACTTTAGTTCTTTAAAATTATATACTATCAAAATCTAAAGTTTTAGCTGCCAAACTCTGGTTGAGTTTGACACAGAATGACCCTCAAGCATCTACAGGGTAAGTAGCCAGATAATTAACTGCCAAATACCTGCCTGGTTTCTCCCTGTCTCTCTACTATCTATTGCAATAATATAGATAATAAATGTGCAAAGCAAAATTTATAAATAGAATTAAGAATAGTAGTGGTGACATAGCTGTGGAAATTAATCGCAAAGTCACTTTTATGCCCTAGATACTTTTCTCAGCCAGTCATATTCTCTTCTCACCTGTGAAGACCCTGCATGATCATCCTTGCTGGCCTCTGGTCCACTGTCTCCTCCTCCTTGACCCTGCTCTTTCTATTGTGGCAATTAAGATTAAAAAAATATGTGCAAAGCAATAGTGAGCACAAGTTCTGTGCAGAAATTAAGGAGGAGTGGGTTTATTCCTAGCATGAAACTAGCTAGCAAGTGATTTAACATAGGTAACAATAACATTAGTATTCTTGTTAACTAGCTTAACTTGATATAGTGGCATCTATTAATTAGTCATCATTTAACTAACATTATCTCCATGCAACAGCATTACTCAACTTAAATGGTTTGTTTGGAAGAAACTGTGCAAGGCTTTTTGCTTCTTGCTGGCTGGTTTGCTGACCCCCCAGGCCCCACACTTGATAAGTGTCCCCACCAATGTTCAGACGAGTTCATGTCCTTTTCTGCATGACTTTAAGGTTATTGAAATAATTAGCCTAAATAAATATAACTAAAAGATGTGCTACTGTATGTAGCTTTTTTTTATTAGTAATTATTAGGGAGTTGCCCTGTTTTTTGCTTGAGCACAAGCTCCCAAAAATCTGTGTGCACAGCGCTGTCTGTGCTGTTGGTGTGCGCAAATCTGTTCATGGTGACAAGTTGTGCAGCGAACTTTGTTAAATTTGAGACAATGATGCCATTTCTAAGGGAAAATCTGGGGGAGTATCAACATGGAGAAAACAGTTAATTTGCGAGCTAGCTGTAACAATATATTCTAAACATATAGGGGGGTTATAAAATTGTCTTGTGCGCTGGTGGTTCAAGAACCCTGGTTCATAGTCACTGTTCAGCAATGGAAGCTGACTTGCTCATGTATAGGGACCACTCTTATCCAGTGTTTCTCGCGTAAACAGATAAGTCATTCTATAAATATCAATTTCAATCGATCAGTAAAGGTGTATCTTATCTTACCTTATCTTATCTTATCTTATCTTATCTTATCTTATAGTAGCCTGGTGTCATTTGCATGTAATTTAATGAGGGTAACATAGAGGACAGCCATACATAATGTCACTGTGCTTTGACTTGACTTCTCAAATCAGAGGCTGCAGATTTATCAACATATGTATCAGCATGTCTTTAATGAACTGCAGGAGAAGTTTTCACAGTATAAAGAAACTGTGGACAACAGATACTACTCATATTAATTTACAGCTAAAGATAGCCAATAGTGGGGGCTACATTTGAAGCAGTGAGTCTGGGGCCCTCCCCAAGGAAATTTCAAGTTTCAAAAACTTAATTTCCTGCATTCTTGTGAATATGTATGCACAGTATAAATGTCATAATTTCATTGTCTTCAATTTTGTGAGGGGAAAACACAAAATTCAGGCAGCAAAAATCCAAATATAAACATGTAGGCATGTGTGCATCATCTTTTATGTCTTTTGTTTGGGAAATTATCCTCTTTAAATGTACATGTGTCACATATTCACATCATTGACACATGAATTCATTTTAATTCATTTATAACCCCTGGACTTTAATAGCTTTTATGTGTTTAATGCTCAGCAAGATTTCTGCTCATGGTCAAAAGTTTCTGCACATTCAAAACAATTTCCACATACCTGTGTTCTCTGAGGAAAAAGTTGTAATATTAGAGAATAAAGGGGTAATGTCATAAGATTAAAGTCAGTGTTTCAAGAAAAAAAGGCAAGGCAAGATAGTTAATAATAACAGTAATAATAATAATTATACCTTGGGTTTTAAACACATTTAGCTATATGCTCTCAAGAATAATAACATTTTTAGTGTAGATTTAAAACTGCAATGGTTGGGGCATAACCAAGACCATCAGGCAATTGTTTCCATTGATGTGCAGCATAATGACTAAAAGCCACTTCTTCTTATCTAGATTTTGCCCTAGGCACCACTAGCAGTGATCTATGAGGTCTTGCAGGGTTATGTTGCTCAAGATTGTCAGTTGTATATTTAGGACCAGCTCAATAGAGAGATTTAAAAAAATAATAAGTAACAGAACTTAAAGAAAATCTGTGGCTTACTGGAAATCAGAGTGGAGATTTAAAAACTTTGGTGATGTGGGCTGTCCTTTTGATTTTGGTCAGAACTCTTTCAGCTGAATTTTAATTAAGTTGCAGGCAACTGGTGGTCTTTTTTGCAAGTCCTGCCAGAATCAGTTTTGCTTGATATAAAAGCAAGAATCTATTTTTCAAGTCTTATTTTGTCATGAGGTTCCTGACTTTGGCTGTGTTTTTAATGAGATTAAATGCTGATTTTGTCATTGCTCTTACATGACTGTTAAAACTTAAAATGAATTAAAACACCAAGGTTTTTAGCCTGCTCTTTTGTCTTTAATACTTTATCCATAAAGTGAGCAGCAATTTCAGCCTCTTTGTTGCCAAATAAAATTACCTCTGTTTTAGCTGTTTAATTGCAAGAAATTTTGACACATCCAGTTATTTATTTGCATAATCATTCAGTGGGACTGTAATCATTTGATGAAAGAGCTAAATAAATTTGGGTGTCATCAGCTTAACAATGATAAGCAAGGTTGTTGTTCTGAAGGATGTGGCCAAGTGGTAGGATGTACAAGTTGAACAGAAGCGGGCAACACATGATAAGCGAGCCGAGAATTGATCCTTGAGGAAGACTACAGGTCAGGGGCATGTGTTTCGAATTGTGCTTCCCAATAGTGACAAGATCTTTAAAGTATGATTTAAGCCTATTTAAAACTGTTTCAGAGGATTACAATTACACACTAATACTGATGTCTTGCCTGAATCACTATGAAAAGGAAAACCATTTATAACCTTTATCAGAGCTGTCTCTAAGCTGCGATAGGTGCAAACACCAGATTTAAATTTTTCAAAACAGTAATTTAGAGTTAATTTGATAGCTGATTAAAAACGGCCTTCTCTACAAGAGTACATTTGAGATGAGTCGAAAGTTACTGAGTGTAGAGGTGACAAGGGCTTAACAACTGCAGTTTTCAAGGATAAAGGAAAGGTGTAGACAGAAGTAAGACATTCGCAGTGCATGTTAATGTATCACTGTACTGAGTTTCAGTAACCGTAGAAACATTTTAAAAAGTTAGTGGGCAGACTGTCAAGACAGCAAGAATTAAGGTGTTGCACTATTTCTAATAAAGTATCTGTTAATGGGGCTGAACTCTGACATCAGGGCTGTTTTTGTTTGTTTTTTTGTGGTTATTGTTGGTAAATTGAGATTTTAGCTCAGGCTTGAGCTACTCCCAAGTCTGACACCATCATTTTTATTTTTGAAAAAGGACGTGAATTAATCATGCACATCAGCTGAGAGAAATTAGGAAGTATGTGAGGCACAGGGTTTGTCAGTCTCTACTGTAGCAATTAGTGTGTGTGCATTATTTTTTTTTTTTTTGTCCTTGAGAGTGGGTGGGGTCCTTTACATGCTGACATTGACCAAAAATATCAAATAGTGTGTTGAGATCATGAGGTTGAGGTGAATGTTGAAGTAACCAATTATTACTAAGAAATCAAAGTCTGCAGATTGCAAATATGAGTTTGCTCAACTCCTAGAGAAAATGTGCATATAGTGTTTTGGAGGGCTATAAATAGTTACACGAAGAATGCAAGGTGAGCATTTAAGGATAGCACAGAGGTATTCCTATGACAAAATTACCTTGTGACATTTTCTTGCATTCGTCTGAACCTTTAAATACAATTGCTATCCCACCCTGTCTTCTGTCCAGGGGATTGTAAATATAGACAGTGCAGGCAGTGCGGTTGCACTGGGGCCCATGGGGTGGAGGGGCCCGACTGCCACCTGGAAATACGCCTGTGTTCAAAGAAGAACTCGCATTAAAACAAAAATGGTGCTATTTTCCATACATGCCCAGTGTCAATCTTAAACAAATTATAAACTTATTCTACATAAGCTATTTAAAAACTATAATTTACCAATAAAAAACTATCAAGTTAAACTGATAATTTCCTATTTTCTTTTGTATATTTGTCTTATACAGATATGTAATGATAATTGATGTGTAATATGTATGTTAATGTGTCCAATATCAAGTATCTGCCAGTGGATGTAACATAAAAGCGGCAGTAAGACACACTGTTGCTAAAATATATATACACCTAAAACTGTCTGTGTGTGTGTGTGTGTATGTGCTTCATAACTTGCAACTAGGGCGTAATAGGGCCCCTCATAATAGCATGCACTGGGGCCCATTGTAACTACTTTACGCCACTGCTTCTGTCCTCCCTCGTGGTGTTAATAAAATCATAAGTTGGAGGGGCTGATTCAATCAGAGTGCCTGCACTACTGGTCTTGTCCAGCAAGGTTTCAGTTAAAAGCATAAAATCAAGGTTATGTGCAGAAATAAGATATAGTTATTAAAAAGGACTTCTTTGTGAGGGTTGAGAAGAGCCAGTTTTAATGTACAGTACATGTAGTAGGTGATATAAATATGGGTTTGTATGTGACATAAAATTAATTGCTTTATTTGAATAACCTTATGTTATTCTATAGCTAATTAGAATATGGATGGTTGAAGTTTTTAGTCCTTTATAGTGCTTTGGACTTTTTGAGCAGTCTATTTGTTGTACTGAGGGAGTTGTTTGTGAGAAGATGTAAGAGATGGGGAGTGCCAGGAAATAGGCTGGAGCTGGTTAGCGTAACAGTGGAGGTCAAGGCAGTGGCAGCGCAGCAAGTTGTCATTCAGCTAGAAACCGGAAGTGGCCAGTTGGGGCTTTATCATTCAAAAGTTGTCGGTGTTAAAAACCATGTAAAACATGTCAGTTAAAATACGTCTCAGGGGGCTGGGATGGACGCCATAATATCTAAAGATGGAAGAATGATTCCCAAAGAAAAGAAGTTGTTGATAATAAAAAAAATGCATTGTGCATTGCACAGATAAACTGAGACCAGTTGTAGAATGAAAGAGTTTTACTGAAGTGACTGATGGTTTGGTTAACAGGAGGAATGGGGGCGAAGATAAAAATCCTCCTGACACATCTTCAAGAGAGTCTAGAAGCTTCATAAAATCTTGTTTTAAGATTTCAGACATTTGCTTGGTGTAATTGCAACCAACATGAATTATAACATTGTTTGCACTAGGATATTTGACAAGGAGGCTGAAGCATTTCTCCATAATTTCAGCCACTGTCACGCCAGGAAATCAAAAACACTTGGTGTGTTTTCTTTGGACTTTTCTTATATGTGAATCATCTATGACAAGCATGGTCAGACAGGGGATTGATGAGGAAGTTTGAGGTGATGGGGCTGAGGACGAGTGGACAGCAACGGGGAAAGGATGCAGAGAGAAGGCTAGAGGTGCAAGACTAAACTTGAAAAACTTGTTTTTTTAAGTGGGAAGCATGCTGGAGTCTGGAAACTGTCCTAAACAGGCCAGTTTTGTCTATAGTTGAGGGGGAGCAAAAATAGTGATTCTGAGCTACAGGTCAGAGGAAAGACACCACAATGCAGTTCAAACTTTTTACAAATCAAAATAACTGGAGGCTATAATAGCCTGTCAGAAAATGCAAACACACATATGACTCAAAAAAAAACATTCTTTCTTGACGTAAATGCTAATAGTGTAGGCAGCTGGACTTGCTTGCCTTTCTTCTCTTAGTTTCAGAGTTGTTAAGGTCATAATGTAAGTCGTTGACCCACCTGGCCACCATGTGAGTCATTAGGGTCAAGTGGGACCAGGGGTGAATGGGTGTGAAGTTGTCTGGGGAGATGTCAGAGGAGACAGTCTACCCTTCTTAGACTGTGCAGCGCACATTGAACAGGAAACTTACATCTACAGGAGTGTTACAACCCAGTATGTGTCTAGGGGTAAGGGATGCAACATAAAACCAAACAATGAAAGTAAAGTGAATAAGGCAAGCTGCCGTTTATTCATACACAAAATAAATAAACAATACAAGCTATGCTTTTGTAAAAAGCGGCAGACAAAAAGAAAGCATGCTTGCAGGCTCTGCAACACAACCCGAAAATCAGACTTCAAGAAAGGAGCCTCGGCGGTGAATTACATTTACAGCATAACAAACTCAGGGAAGGGCGGTGGGTGACGGCAAGCCATAAAACAAATAAAACAAAACTCTGACCTGTCACCAACAAAATAAACACCCCAACTAACTAACTGTGGTGGAAGGCCACCCAGAATAACAAAACTAAAACATAGGCTATCTGCCTGTCTGCTCTATCACTTACCTATCAAACAAAACAACACTCAAACCGACACCCATAAAGCTAGTGTACCATACAGCGAACAATCTACATGTGTGTGTGAAAAGGATATGTGGCTAGGCTACAAAGCTAAATCCTAAAGCCCACAGATTCCCAGATACAACAACAGCAAACAGATTACAGCAGCTGAAAACACAAACGGAGCGAGGCGGACTGCTCAGGTTAAATCACAGCCGCCATTGCTCTTGACTCCGTGCAGCTTTTAAAGGTTCAGACGAGGGGCCGGTGAAGCGGTGATTGGCCGGAACTGATGACGACAACGAGGGGGCCGGCTGACCAGCAAGCGGGGGAACACTGAATAGCAGCAGAGGAGAGCGGGCTGGAGGCGTGGTCCGCCGGGGATTCCCTCCAGAAGAGCAGACAATTAGACACACACATAAATGATTGACAAGTGCTGGCCGAATAATTCCCATAATGACATGCACAGCACATTAAACACAGAAAATAAATGTACTAAGGTCCGGAGACCGTAACAAGGAGAAGGGGCACTCCTTTGAGGACAGCAATGTGCACATCTTGGACAGGGAGGAAAGATGGTTTGAAAGAGGAGTAAAAGAAGCCATTTACATCAAGCTGGAACGACCATCGTTAAACAGAGGAGGTGGCTTACGACCCTACTTATCTTTCACCTACAATGCAGTCTTGGGATCCCTTCCCAGATGAATTCACACCCATTCACCCCTGGTCCCACCTGAGCCTAACGACTCACATGGTGGCCAAGCGGGTCACCGACTCACACTGTGACCTTAACGACTTTGAAACTAAGAGCTCACGTGACCCCCTATGACTCTGCACAGGATCCCACCCACACAGGGTTTATAGCCTGCAACTTTCTTTTCCACCCTTGTTCATCCCTTTAATCCTCTCCTGAATTTTTCTCCCACTTTCTTTCCTTCCCCTTTGCTCTGATGTTCAACCAGGTGAGGGGGAGCTAGCAGCTGCTCACTACCAGCAAGCTGTTAGACTCAAACCAGCACACTATGTTGCCATGGTGAACCTGGGCCGCCTGCTCCGATCTTCCAATGAGAACAAAGAAGCTGAGTCTTGGTACAAGAGGTGAGTACAGTATGATATTTTAGCAGTGTCATGTCTCTGCTGAGGAAGGCATAGAGCAAAAACATGTATTAGCTGCAGGCCTACTGCTACAAAGCTGATAATGATCTTTAAAATGGGTTGTTAGCTCATTCACAACATTCAAAGTCAAAGAAGGAAAAGTAATCCATTACATCAGTGAATCACACCCCAACCACAGAGGAACTGGAGGAAAAATCAATAAACAGAATCTTAAGCTGAAAACACTAGTGCCGCTGCAGTGCAGTGCGTCATGTGACACGTGTCAGAGTGCTAGCAAACACCAGAAATGTCATGCTGTAGCTCATCAACAGACTACCACACAAAGTTATTAATACCTTTACTGAAAGATCTGAACTTTCTACACCTATGTATTAGCTCAAAACAATGTGTAGAGAGCTCCTAATTAAACATGATTTATCTCCTGAATAGCTGATCTCCAAAACTATGACTCAGCAGGCAATATGTTTTTTGCCATTGCCTTTATAATGACGGGATTATGGGTCATTTAGCTCGGGATATTTCTCGCCCTCAATGAGTCTCTCCTTATCCATTCTTTGTCACACACGACACAGCAACAGAGTTTTCTTTGCATCAATGGTGATGGGGGGCAGGGCTTGAAATTGACTTTTTTTACATGGTAGCACTGGTGCTCCTAACTTTTTGAAGTTAGGAGCACCAGCAAAATTTTGGGAGCACCCACCGTAATGTAAGAAGCACGTGTAATCGATTTTTTTATTGCAACAAAAAGTCGACATTATACTGTATACATTACATTGTATGTGTGTAGTACACTTGTCATTAACAACTTTTTCAGTTGAAGATATTTTTAATAAAACACCACTGAACACCACTGTGAAAGAAAGAGGATGGTCAAAAGAGAAACCTTATACGATGATAATACTCATCATCATCAGTATAATCATCGTCTAAGGTTTCTCTTTCATTCACAGTGGTGTTCAGTGGTAGCCTGACGTTGCCAGACCCAATTTGCGAATGGGTGTACGGAGTGTACATTTCCTCTATTCCCGGGGGGTATCAACGGCTGTCACTCAGACTGCCCCTTCACGCAATTGGAAAGACGGAAAACCAGATTAAATGAATCAGATCAGACCGGGGGGAAAAACAGTCACACCAGAAGAATTATTTACACTCGCACCAGTGCTCCCAATTATATTTTGAGGGCGCACAGATGAAATTTGATGATTTGATGAAGATTCGCACAGATGAAATTAATCCAAAACAGTCGCAATTTCAAGCCCAGGGGACATAGAACAGTGACGTGAAGTGCCACGAGGCAATGCATCCATGAGTGCCGTTGCGTGTCTAGCCAACGCGGGTGTGGGGTTGTACTTTGAAAATATCAGGGGCATACTTGTTGATGCGCAGTGTTTGCTGCTGTTGTGTTTTGGCCTTTATAACTGGAAAAAAAAATCAGCATCAATATTCAGTTTTTAATATTGATTTTCAGTTTCCATCGGTCTACAACCTTCCATCGAACTCTTGGTAGAAAGCAAAAAAAATTTTCCAAACATGTATGAGTGTTCCTTTCAGGGGAAGTTATAAGAGAATTTGAATTTTCAATTAGTTTAAGACTGTAGTTGTAATATTTTTGCATCAATTAGTCCACATTTGATTTATTTTGAGACAATGTCATAGACTAGACTCTGTGTGTCAAATATACTCCCTCATTATTTGCTCCCGGCAAAACTTTGTAGTTTTCTTTGTGGTGAGCAGTAAATCAACGTTTTGTAATCAGTTGGTCTCATTCATGAAAAGTTTGTAAATCTTTGAGTAGATGTGCACATAAAAAAACTTAATTCTATAAATCTTCACCATATTCATAAACCCTGTGGAAGACTCTGATTTGATCATAGGCATGTGTGAATGTTCATGAATGCCAATCAGTCATAAACTGACAGCACGGTCCCTCTAGTCAGCAATTACCATACATCCTGCCTATGAATAGCAAGTGACAACCATACATGGAGGTGATAATTACTATGGATAGGTGCATCCTGTCAACCTATGAACATGGAGCAAACAAAGAAAGAGAAAGAAGAACTTATAATATTTGGTGTGACAGGGACAGGTAAATCAAAGGCCTGGAAGGAGCTAAAGGATGTCAGTAACTCTGTCCTCAAAAAGTTAAACCAAAATGGTTCAGTATGAAACTTGATGCAAAAAAAATGCATAAGTACACAAAAGAAAAAACACAAAAGCTACAAGAGGCTCCTCCCAGTCACAGCTACAGATGAGTACATGGCTTGCATCATCAGTTATTGTATTAAGTGATAAATCAGAAAACAACTGGAAAACAATCAGTCATGTCAGTAGACTCTTATATGTTATGAAACCTAGTTTGCTATAATCCAGCAAGGAGATGAAATCTCAAGCCTTGTTTCCACCAAACACTTTAGGTAAGGTATCTTTGGAACCAAAAATAACCCTTTGAGACAAGGTACCTAGGCCCTAGGTCCATTTAGTGTTTACACCACAAACAGCAGGGCCGTAGCCAGGGTTTAGCAATTAGTGAGGTCCAGAATTTGAAAAGAATTTGACTAAAAAATATATGCATTTTAATATCTGTTTGGATCACTCTAGCTAGTAGCTACTTTATATTAGGCTCAGAGTTGGGTATAACGCGTTACAAAGTAATCAAAGTACTCTAACGCGTTACTTTGTAACGCGTTAGAGTACTTTGATTACTTTTTGCAGTAACGAGTAACCTAACGCGTTTGTTTGCTGTTTGAGTAATCAAATACTTAAGTACTGTAAGGCAGATCACAAACGTTAAGTTTGATCCTCCATTATCCTGTCATACGATGTGTTATGTGTTGCTAAATATAGCATGTTTATTGGTTAGTGAGAGTCACGTGAGCATGCATGAGAACGTAACGAGATTACCATGTTTTCAGTTTGTTGTTGGATGTTGAACGGTGCTCACGGCTCACTGCATGGACAGCCTAGCTTGCTGTTCTGTGCCCGAGCTAGAGGCCACAACCCAACCTAAAAAGCGTGCCATTGAGATGTATGTTCTGTACTTACCGGCTGAAGTCCAGTAAAGTCTACAAACGAAGATTCCTTGTTGTGTGAAGTACTTTCCACCCATGCACAAAGGATTACAACTCATCAAAAGGTCTGAGCACAACAACTGGTGTCAGAAGTGGGATTCCTGCAAAACTTTTCAAACCGTGAGTACGTCCATCTGACAGAGAGCGGGAGCTAGCGACAGCTAACGGATGCTAACTGGAGCTAGCGGGAGCTAACGAGAGCTAGCGAGAGCTAACGGAAGCTAGCTCCGGTGGCTTTCGTGAGCCAGTGAGTGATAACAGGAGCCACTGTCACGACACTGCTGCTTGCTAGATGTGGTTTTCCATCATAGAGGACTGTTAATGTGCCCAAATCACCAAGCTAAACTGCACACAGCACAACGAGAGCAACTACTGCCCTGCTGTCATCAACTCGTCATCTGTGGAGCAACACCACCACCTGCAGGAGGTTACTGGTACATAACCCCAGGTACTGTGATAACAACAATAATAAAGCCAGAGCAAAGACTGTGATACATTAAAGACATTGCATCTCCATTATTGCATAGAAAAGAAGATAAGTTAAAAAAGAGACTATTACAAAAAAAAGGTAGAAGAAAATAACTTTCAAGAAAATAATAAAATGACTGAAGAAGGAGCTACAGTGGGCCCTTCTGAGCCTGACCGAGCCCCATCATGGTTGCAAGCTTTGTTGGATCACCAAAATCAAAGCCTGCAAGTGATGCTGGCTCCAGTCCTCACACACATAACTGGAGGAAATTCAGCTGCACAGCAAGCCTTACCACCACCTGCTGTTTCCAGTGGAGGTAGGGGTGAGATCTTACAGTGGCCCTCACAGGACAGGCATGATGCAGCACCTTTAGCCTCTTGGGAGATACCAGTAAGACCAAGCAATCACGCTGGTGGGCCCTTTGCAGCTGAGTTGGAAGTCATCAACAGGCAGGCCCACAGCCCTGGCCTCACCAGGAGGAGTGCCAATCCTGAACCTGACGTCAGACAGAGAGACAGCAGAGAGACTGAGCGTGAAACCTCGTGTTTGGTGTCCTACCATGACGAGCAGAGGCTAAATAGTACAGTCCAACAGTCAGCTGGCCATGCAGGAGGTGCATAGACCTAAACTTGCCATATTTGACGGAAATGATGACTGGGACTCTTTCTTGCTGCCATTTGAGCGCCAAACCAGGAAGCATGGATGGACTGCTGCAGAAAGAGTGGACAGGCTGCATGAGTGTTTGAGAGGATCAGCAATACGATATGTCTGCTCACTGCCAGAACGTACCAGGGAGGATTATGTTCTCTTGGTGGAGCAGCTTACTCAGCATTTTGGTAGAAAAGACCCTCCTACCACAGTAAGGAGAAAGCTGGGGGAACTCAGACAAGGGAAAGAGACATCTGCTGAATTTGCAGAAGAGGTGCGGCGCCTTATTACGCTTGCATACCCAGGCGTGGATCTCCAGCTGCAAGACCAACTGGCAACTGATGCTTTCCTTAAGGGTCTAAGAAACCAAAAGGTGGCCTATGAAGTCATTAACAGAGATCCACTCTCCCTTTCAGAGGCTCAATAGCGTGTAGAGGCCCACGAACATAATTTCAGAGCCACCATGGGGCTTGAAACTGAAACAAAGAACAGAGCCAGGCGTGTTTCTTGGGCCAGCGATGGGGACACCTGTGATGATGTCACTGCTACTGCTCGGAGGGTGCAGACCCCACAGTATGTGACTACAGATCAGTTCATTGCACTGACATACCAAGTTAAGACCCTTGTTCATACAGTAGAGAAGCTACAGCTGCAGTTTGAACACTTCCAGTCCACCCATATGGAACACCAGCAGACTAGAGCAACAACACAACCTCCCTTCGGGCTGGAGAGGATGCAGAGCTATCCTCAAATGCAGCCCAGTTGAATGTGCTCCCAGTCACCAAGCCCAACCC